CCGAGTTCATGGGGACCTAACCCTAACCCTAAGTGAAAATCCCATTGGGGAAAAACCCACAGGCTTAGGGTTAGGTCCCCGTGAATTTGGAGAGCAAAATCTTAGGATTTTCCCATGTATTTTACCAGGAAATATAGATAGGGCAGGCTCCAAAACTCAACACCCTCCTAAGTACACAGATGCACTCCGAATCCATTGGCGATGTCCATTTTGCTCTCCGAGTTCATGGGGACCTAACCCTAACCCTAAGTGAAAATCCCATTGGGGAAAAACCCACTTAGGCTTAGGGTTAGGTCCCCATGAATTTGGAGAGCAAAATCCCAATGGGATTTTCCCATGTATTTTACCAGGAAACATAGATAGGGTGGGCTCCAAAACTCAACAAGCTGCTAAGCACACCGATGTGCTACGAATCCATTGGCGATGTCCATTTTTCTCTCTGAGTTCATGGGGACCTAACCCTAACCCTAAGTGGGTTTTTCCCCAATGGGATTTTCCCATGTATTTTACCAGTAAATATAGATAGGGTGGGCTCCAAAACTCAACACCCTCCTAAGCACACCGATGTGCTCCGAATCCATTGGCGATGTCCATTTTGCTCTCTGAGTTCATGGGGACCTAACCCTAACCCTAAGTGGGTTTTTCCCCAATGGGATTTTCCCATGTATTTTACCAGTAAATATAGATAGGGTGGGCTCCAAAACTCAACACCCTCCTAAGCATACCGATGCGCTACGAATCCATTGGCGATATCCATTTTGTTGTTCGTATTCATGGGGGCCTAACCCTAAGTGGTTAGGGTTAGGTCCCCATGAAATAGTTTTCAATGATTTCTGGGCAAAGGCTGGCTCTTGTTTGCTTGGCTTTGGCTTTGAGATAAGAGCGAAGGGTGGAGCCTAATCCGAGCGAGGGAAAAGCACCTTGTCCTTACTTCTGTGTCCTAATCAAGGCAGGGGGAGACACCTAGGAGAAATGCCAGGCCATTTGTTGCAAGAGAAGGGCCACAGATTTCATCCGGATTGCTCTGTATATGCAGAGCAAATGCACCACTGAGTCATGGCCCCATTCTCACGGTGTGAAAGGGCCTTGGATCTATGTTTGCCACAACGTGCAACTGCCTTACCTTCTTTGGCATCCATGTTTTTCAGAGGTTGCAAGGCTGTCCGTGCAATTGAAAAGAAGAAGAAGAAAGTATCAGCTGATTGAGCCCCAAAGGAGGGTGCCGAACGAACAGAGTGAAAACAGAAACGCGAATCTTAGTTGAGTCTGAACGGCTCTCTAGCAGTGTTTCAAAGCGAAGAGTTGAAGAGTTGGCTGTACTCTCTCCGGTTAGACCAACTTCAAACTTTTACATTATGTACGAAAGCAAGTACTGCACTGCCCCCTGCTGCACATTGTAAAACCCGCAATATTCTTCCTTGGAGATACCAGCAGAATGCCAAGGAATTCTCACTCCTTTATCAAAATGCCAAGGAATTCTCACTCCTTTATCGAAATCCCAGCTCAGAGAGGGTTGCAAAGCGCTGTGAAGCCATATATAAGTGCTCTTGTGGAGGGAGGGAGGGAGGGAGGGAGGGAGGAGGAAGGAGGAAGGAGAGGGGGAGAGAAGGAAGGAAGGAAGGAAGGAAGGAAGGAAGGAAGGAAGGAAGGAAGGAAGGAAGGAAGGAAGG